CAAATAGCCACGGGGGTGCAGGGTTGCACTAAGCTTTTAGCTTGTCTGTTGGTCTGATTGGAGGAATGCAGAGTGAAAATAGGGCCCAAGGAGTCTCTGTTGGAGGAATATTCATGTCACAATGACAATTAGTAAAAACAAATTAAGGAGAATATTTTCAATGTCACAGAAACTCTTTAGTGATATTAAAATGAGCATTGAGACTAAAGGGGAGTAGACCAAAGAGGAATGTACCACAGGTGTGGCCTGGAGAGGTGTTTCGGATGCGGCCAGACGTCAAGATATACGGGCCAGGAGAGCTAAAAGGAGGCTTATGATGTGGACAATCTGAGATGATGTGAGGAGGGTAACAACCCCATTTACTCAAGCACCCCATTAGTTGCCAGTTAGAGAACTTCTTTATCCTCAAATTGGGACAAGGTCCTGAAAGGGCCAGGTGGGGCAAGGGCCCCAGGTAAGGCGAACGTCTCACTAAGCTTGTGCCCCAGGGAAGGGGCTCTTGGTGGGGGGTGATTCCAGTAACAGTGTACATGTCAAGTCCTTTTCAGAGTTTCAGGTGAGTTGATTTGAGTTGTGTGGTACTTGGAGCTGCCCCGACTTGGGCCGTTCTATTTTTCATTAGACTTCTCTGCAATGCAGCGTCCGTCTCAGTTCCCCGTCAGCTCTGGGGAAGCCAGAGTCTGATTGGTGGGATGTGGTGGGGGTCGTGTTGTGCTTCAGGTGCTCCAGAGAGTTCTGATTCAATCAGGAGGCCCAGCTGTGTCTGAGGTCATTCCTTTGGTCACTGGAAGTTGCAGCGGATGATAATGTTTTTCCTTTTACTTCCTTTTTTGGGAGAATCGTATTAAAGTTCACAGGAGAAAAGAAATGAAAGGGAAAGGAAAATGAATGAGAGACAAAAGACTCTCCCCTTTCCCATGATATGATTTTAAAAACAAGTTGGGGTGTTTCCTTCACTTAAGGAGACACATGAAGCTGACATTGTCTTCTCTTAGGACAGCTTCTCTCGTGTCAGTAGGCCTTTTTCTCCCATGTATGCTTGATGGCAACACGTAAAGAAGGACTGATTGCATCAGTTGCAGTGGAAGAGGCAACAACCCCAGACAATAAGATGACTGTAGAGGGACGCTCCTACGCACAGAGAAGCCAAAGCCCTTGTAACAAACTACGTAATTACCCTTCTGATTTTCAAGGATCTGTTTTGATTTCTTAACACCTTCTTTATGACTGTCTGGATTCCACACCCTCTCCCTGAGACATGGCAGTCCTGAGAACCACCGCCTGCCTTCTCCTTGAGAGTCCTGAACCATGCCCACCTCCCAGTGCCCACCTGTGCGGTGCCAGCAGAAGGGCCCTTCTGTGCAGTGACCCTCGTCCTGCCGGAATAAAGGCCCACCAGACTTTCAGGACCTGAAACAAGAACAAACGTGTCACACTCTATGGGTTCTGAATCCTACCATTGTGTGTTTTTTATATCCTTACTAATCTTTACCCCTGTTCTGCCTGGAATAATATGTGACAAAAAAGTGGCTTTTCTGAAGTGGGTGTGCTGGGTCTCTCTGGCCAAGAATGACCTTTGATTCCAAGCTTCCGAATGCCTCAGAAAGAGGAGCAAGATCAAACCTTGCTGTGTACCTTCTGTCTATGACGTAGGCGGGATTTCCACTCCCTAAGCTGTGTGCATCATGAATAAAGGCTGTATTTCATGGTCAAATGTAAATTCAGTTTCTTTCTTTTTTGTCGTTTAAAAAAACTTGCTTTTGGTAACTGAAGTTGGTCAGTGTTTTTGTTGTGGGGGAGATAGTAGGGTGTGTGTGTGTGTGTGTGTGTGGGTGAACCTTTTATCTCTCCCCATCTGACCCAGAGTTTTAGGTTTTTACAATAAATGTTACATGAATTTTGTTTAAACTAGATCTGATATAATGGATAAGAAGAATAAATTTTCATTGCTTCAGATTCACTTTCTACTACTTACATCCATTGTGACTCCCGTTGAAATATTTTCAACTGCTGTTTTGATTACTTTAAAAGTTATAAAGGTAATTAAGATTTTTATTGCCTCTAGAGAAAGTTTTTTTTTTACAACAAATTTTGATTTTATTTAAAAATTATGGCTTAAGTAAAATCTGTAAAACCTGAGTAGCTCCTGGAACAAAAATCATTAATGAAAAAGTCTTAATGTTCTAGATCTCTTTGTTTTCCTCTCTACTCAGTTTAAAAAACCTTTATTCATTGTGTTTCTTTTTGATATTGAGTTCTATGAGCTCTTTATGTATTTTGGACATTAACCCCTTATCAGACATACCCTTTGCAAGTATCTTCTTCCATTCAGTATGTTGTCTTTTCATTTTGTTGATTTCCTTCACTGTGCACAAGCTTTTTTTTTTTTTTTTTGTATTGAAGTACAGTCAACTACAATGTGTCAGTCTCTGGTGTACAGCGCAATGACCCTGTCACGCATATACATACATATAGTCGTTTTCAAATTTTTTTCCATTAAAGATTATTATAAGATATTGAACATAGTTCCCTGTGCTATACAAAAGAAACTTCAAAAAAATCAATTTATATATATAGTGGCTAACATTTACAAATCTTAAACTCCCAAATTTATTCCTGCAAAAGCTTTTAATTGTGATTAGGTCCCATTTGTTTATTTCTGCTTTTGTTCCACTTGCCTGAGGAGACAGATCCAAAAAACATTGCTAAAACTATATTGTCTTCTAGGAGTTTTATGGTTTCCAGTCTTACATTTAGGTCTGTAATCCACTTTGAGTCAATTTTTGAATACGGTGTGAGGAAATGTTCTAATTTCATTCTTTTGCATGTAGCTGTCCAGTTTCCCCAACACCACTTATTGAAGAGACTGTCTTTTACCCATTGCATATTTTTGCCTCCTTTGCCATAGATTAATTGACCATATGTGCATGGGTATATTTTTGGGGTATCTGTTCTGTTCCATTGATCTATGTGTCTCTTGTTGTGCCAGTACCACACTGTAGTTTTGTAGTATGAGCCAGGGAGCATGATGCCTCCAGCTTTGTTTTTTTCTCAAGATTGCTTTGTCTATTTGGTGTCTCTTGTGATTTAATACAAATTTGGGTTATTTGTTTCAGTTCAGTGAAAGCTGCCAAGGATATTTTGATAGGGATAGCATTACATCTGAAGATCACTATAAGTAGTGTGGGCATTTAAAGAATACTAATTCTCCTAATCCATGAACATGGGATATCTTTCCATTTCTTTGTATCGCTTTCAATTTCCTTCATCAGTGTGTTACAATTTTCAGAGTACAGGTCTTTCACTACCTTGGTTAAGTTTATTCCTAGGCATTTTATTCTTTTTGATGCAGTTTTAAACAGCATTATTGATTGTTTCTCTTTCTGATAGTCCATTATTTGTCTATAGAAAAGCAAGATTTCTGTATATTCTTTTACTGAACTCATTTATTAGTTCTAATAGTTTTTTAGTGGAGATTTTAGGGTTTTCTACATATAGTATCTCATCATCTGCAAATAGAACAGTTTTACTTCTTCCCTTCCAATTTGGATGTTATTTGTTTGTTTGTTTGTTTGTCTATTTACTTATTCATTCATTTATGTCTGATTGCAGTGGCTACAATTCCAATGCTACGCTAAATATAAATGGTGAGAGTCTTGTTCCTGATTTTAGAAGAAAAGTTTTCAGTTTTTCACCATTGATTGTGATGTTAGCTGTGGTTTTGTCATAAATGGCCTTTATTATGTTGAGATGTATTCCTCTATACCACCTTTGTTGAGAATTTTTTTTCATGAATGTGTGTTGAATTTTGTCAAATCCTCTTTCTGCATCTATTGAGATGATCATGTGATTTTTATCCTTCCTTTTGTTAATGTAGTGTATCATATTGATTGATTTGTGAATATTGAACCATCTTTGCATACTTGAAATAAATCTCACTTGACAATGTAGTATGATCATTTTTATATACTTTTATTTCACTTTGGTAATATTTTGTTGAGGATTTTTACATCTATGTTCTTTAGTGACATTGGCCTGTAATTTTCTTTTTCTGTAATGTTTTTGTCTGGTTTTAGAATCAGGGTAATGGTGGCCTCATAAAATGAGTTTGGAAATATTCCCTCCTCTTCAAATCTTGGAATAGTTTGAGAAGAATAGGTATTAGCTCTTCTTTATATATTTGGTAGAACTCCCCTGTGAAGCTGTCTGATCCTGTTTTGTTTTGGGAGATTTTTTGATTACTGGTTCAATTTAAATACTAGTAAATGGTCTGTAAAGATTATTCATTTCTTAGTGATTCAGTCTTGGAATATTGTATGTTTCTAGGAATTTATTCATTTCTTCTAGATTGTCCAATTTGTTGGCATATACCTGTTCACAGTATTCTCTTATAATTGTTTCCATTTCCATGGTATTGATTGTTTATTGAAACTTTACACAATGGTTCTAAGTAGCATGATGGAAAGGCAGGTGAGCAGACCAGAAACTTTCCCTCAGTCCATTTTAGAAGAAGAAAGCAGACTTGGGTTAGCAAGCCGCCAATCAAGGGGAAATGCATTATAAGAAGGATCCGAGGCAAAGAGAAAGGTGTCACCAGGTAGCCAGGCTCTTTTCAGCCCACTGTGTACAACAAAATGGCAACCAGCTCACGTGGACCCGGGCAGGTAGGCAATTCAAGGAAGGTGAGAGAAGCAGTCATCGTCCCTAATCAAGAAAGAGAGCCTTTGACCACCACTTACAACAGCCCCCCTGCCCCCCAATTCTCCCACTGCCGTAAGTCACTGAAACTGAGGGCTAAGGTAGGGACTCTGTGAGTCAGGAGAACTTAATCCAGTGGGGAGATCCTGGAGCAGGGCATTTCCTGTTTCCAGAATCCCAGTCAAGCCAGGTGTGGATGGATTTGCATTTTGGTTGGGAAATTACTGGACCAGGCCAGCTTTAGTCAGCTCCACTTCCCCCTGGGCGGGGCAGCCAGCCCCAATAAAAAGGTCCTCGGCGCCACGGCTGCCATCCTCCTGGTGCTCCGGTCCCCGTCGACTTTGGAGAAACTGGTGAGTCTGACTCTTGAGTTCAGCTGAGTTCTTGCGCTCCTAAATGTTGAGTTCCATCTGAAGGCAGCAGTTTGGTGGGTCCAAGGTCATGATCACGGGTTTGCTGCTACTTGGTTGACGGAAAACTGGAATCTGGGCACAGTGGTATGACTGGGGATTCTGGTACAGAGTTCGACTTCCTTTACGGAAGAAAGAAGTTAGTAGGAAATCTTCGACATGATGAAGAGGTGAAAAAACCCCCAAAGTATTTTTCTTCTATTTAATACCCCTGTGCTGTGATTTCAAAGGCTTGTGCTGTAGAAGGTGTGAGGCCCGTGTGTTCGTCCTGCTGGCCCTTTGCTCTGTGTGTGAGTCAGCCTGGTGGGACCTCAGGAGAGACAAGGATGACGGGAACTGCCTGTGGCTTGCCCAGGATTTCAGAACTTGTGATGGCCTTTCGTGAAGATTTTGTTTCATACAAATACCATTGCTTAACGTTCTTTCACACAGAGGCATTTTCTTTGGAAAAACTGTGTGAGAAAAGAGAATGTTTTCTCTGGGCTGGTGAAACAATTTGCTAAAGAGGGAAAAGCCAGAAATTCACTAAAAGGGTTTGAAGAGATTCAAGGAGAGTCTTAGAGAGTCGAGAGGAGCTACCTCGGGGTGTTGATGAGCCTTAGCTTTGCTCTCCGTAGCAGTTGCTTCTGGTGAACACTGTCGTATAATTTCTTTCAGATTGGAAAACTCCAGAAAGATGTCCTACCAACAGCAGCAGTGCAAGCAGCCCTGCCAGCCACCTCCTGTGTGCCCGCCACCTAAGTGCCCGGAGCCCTGCCCGCCACCTAAGTGCCCAGAGCCCTGCCCGCCACCTAAGTGCCCGGAGCCCCGCCCGCCTCAGCAGTGCCAGCAGAAGTGCCCCCCGGTGCCGCCTCCCCAGCCCTGCCAGCAGAAGTGCCCACCCAAGAGCAAGTAGCGGCTTCAGCACCCACGGGATCAGGAACGGGGAAGGCCGACTGGCCCTTCCGGGCCCTTCCGCAGCTCCACCTTCGTCTTCCCTTCAAGGCCCATCATGGATGCAGAAGCAGCTTCTCCGCCCTTCCCCTGGAATGTGCCCGTGGTGATGCCTGGCAGACGGAGGCTTCCCTCCGGGGCCTGCTGCCCTGCGCCCTCCGGGAGGCCGCTGAGAGGGCGTCGCAGCGCTGCAGGAGGACGAGCGGCGGCTCCCTCCCGGGCGCCGGCAGAGGGTCCCGGCTGCCTCCTGTGTCCCTGCGTCCCCTGGGCAGGGTTCCTACCACCTGGGCAGTTGTTCCTTATCCTCCACTTCCTGAATAAAGCACAGCTCTTTTCTGTGATGGAATGAATGGTTCCTTTCTTTCAAGACCTGCATTGAGCAACGTCATATCGTCATTTTGCTTCATTTCTCTTTTTCTTTGATCCCAAGTTTCAGGCTCTCACAATCAGTGTTATCTGAATTTTGAATCGTGTCAAAGATTATTTCGATTAGTTTTAAATTCAGGTTATTTTCCTTCATTACTGTCTGATTGATTAGAGGAAGAAATAATTTACCTCCTCAGGATTTCAGCCCTTCACGGTAATGGGGAAAATAGTATTACACTGAAAACCTGTCCTAGGAAAAAAAATGAAATGAATGTGCGTAAGGTAGTTGGCACAATGCCAGGCACAACTGGCACTTGGTGAGACAGCAGACCATCACTGTCTCCACCATCACCACCCTCACCACCCTCACCACCCTCACCCCCGTCACCGCTACCACCATGGCTGCTCCGGCAGGAACCTGGCTCACACATAACCGTATAGGAAAGAGGAAGATTCTTAAACTCTATGACCTTTTCGTATCTCTTTCTTCTTTTTCTTTTCTAATTAACCTTGTTCTTAATGTGACGTTTTAGATAAAGAGCTTTTGGGAATTAGTGGAATACGCTGCATAAAATTGCAGTTGTTCTTAAAACGTGGATGGTAAGAAGGAAGGGAAATAAAATGGGTCCTTACAAGGCAAAGTGCCTCCTCTCCACGTGAACCACCTGCTCTTCTTACTCCAGCCTCTCATCATAAATCAGTCTCATTTTATTTTTCCACCTCTGAAGTTACTCTCTCATTTGTTTTGGCCCCATATGAAAAGCACTGGGGTTTACAGTGTTTATGCAGATTTGCAAACTTAGTGTTGCTCTGCGGCTTGTTTTCTAAGTGCTTAACCTGCCAGTCAAGTAAGCTGCTTAAAGAGGGATGTGTCCTTTAGGTCTATCTTGTGGTCCCAGGTGTCCACAAACAAAATAGGTAATTCAGA